TGGCTGGGAGAGGGGCAGCCAAGCCCAATTCTCCGTGCTGTGAGAGGCAGGAAGGCCGTTTCCTTCCGATTATAACCAGCACAAGGAAATGAGGTCTCTGAAGTCACTAGAGATTAAATTGCCTTATTACTAAATCAGATTCAACTCACTTAAACACAGATTTTACAAGATGATCAATGGCGATATAACAATGATCAATAGTATCGCATTTAATTGGATTTTTATGGGTATAATAGAGTATTTCAAAATTAACGTACCATTGCATTGCTTTGTTACTTTTTTAACTCCATTTTTTAAAAAAGGAATGATGCTTCAAAACGCTGATTAGTCTTTTAAATATTATTTTGGGGGCATGGTTAATAAAAATTAAAATGAAAAATTAAATGCTTTTAGTAATTGAATTTCTGCTTTTGTTTGAGTTGCTTGGCAGTGTTTTTATTTTTGTTTTTTTTTTAAAGAGCTTTCTACATTGTAAAAAACACAAGCGTACCCTTGCATTCTTCATCTTTCAGGATGAAGAGGAGAAAAAATATCAGAGTAAAATGAACATATGTATATACAGGGCTCAGCTTATGAATCGGAAGCAGCTGAGGTCGCTCCCTTTCCTCAGCAGTTGGACTTAGTCATTTTCCCTGGAAATAATCTCCTTGTCCCATGTGTCTTGCTTTAATCCAGCCGTCTTTCTGCAGTGTGCAGCAAGAAATTGATTTTTGGTAAGTTTAATGGGTGAATAACTGGCCCTGTCCCCGAGTGCTTTTTCGTATTTGCAGTGGCCAATGTGGGCCCTGAGCACGCTGTTCTGGTTAATGGGTTTCATTAGTTTTGATGCCTGAGGTAAAAGAAGCCGTAGGTGGGAAGAAAGGCTGTTTTTGATGTCTAGATGTTCGTTTCAGCTGTTGCTGCAATATGATACATTAAAAGGAAATATGTAACATAGCTCTGAGGAAATATGTATTCTTTGAAACTAATTCTACTTTTAAACTGCCTAAGACAGTGTGATCTGAATTATTAAAATGAGGGTGGCTGAATTTCTTAAAGGTAGAACTAGTCCTGCTGTGACCGCATGGCCTAAACTTCCTTGCTCCTCCTCTTTTTTCTTTATTTTCGGTTTTGGCATTGAAGCAGAACAGATCTGTTATTATCTTTGTGGTGTCTCTGCTGGGAGACCGAAAATTTTTGAGGAATTTGCTTTGATATTTTGCTATGACTTCGCTCCTTGAAGTTTTTATAATGGTTGTTTTCTGCTAACATGGCTGGCTTCGACAAGGTGTCAGGCACACACCCTTGTAAGACTGTAATATCTCTGATTAGAAAATAAACGAACAAAACCCGATGCCCCAGACACTGTGCTGCTCAGCAATGCATGTTAAAATGATAGTATAAGTCTAGATTATTCTAGATGCATCTGATTATTTTAAAATCTGGAGGATTTAAAAATGAACTACTTTTTTGAGCTGGTGCAAACAAAATGATAGCAAGTATGAAAACTCTTAGCAGAAAAATGATTGACTAATTCCTTTCCTGTACAGAGACTCACAGTGACATTCAGCCCCTCGGCGCTCCCTTCACGATACCTACACTGCACTGTATTTTATTTATTTATTTATTTATTTATTTATTTTTACAGTGCTGCAAGCAAAAGGTTTTTAAATTTATTTTTGTGTGCAGTACATCTTGGATAATGGCAGGGGGCCTATTGCCATACTGTTACTGCAACAGTAACTTTTACTGCAGATATCTCTGTGAGCTTAAACAGGGTCATTCTTTGCCACTGTAAAGATTAAAAGGTTAAAGCAGTGTTTTATTAACATTGCAGTGAAAATGTTAGGAGATATGTGTATTTTCATTTTCTTTTATAGATTGTAGCAACAATGCCTCTTCACATAAGTGACCCTTATTGGGGACCCTCGCGGGTGGTGCTGGGCTCCCCCACAGCCCTCTCCAAATGGGGCTGTTACAAACACCAAATTGCATGAGACGAGCTGGGCTCTGGAAGTGGGTGACTGTCAGTAGGATATAGCGGTTAGAGTGGACACGCCAGGTGAACGTGTACATGGGAAGTGATGAGTGGCCTTATTGTCCATCTTGTATGAGTACCATCCATAGAAGGATGAGTTTTTGCTGAGGTGATAACTAGACATTAACTTTGTTCTGATTTTCTCACATGGGAAAAAGTGTTTAAGACGGTGAAACTGGTCACCAAGGCTGTAGAGAAGGACATGGAGACTTGAGGGATTGGCCTGTTCCACCTGACCAAGGTGGTCCGCCCTGCCCTGGTGGTGGCAACAACTTGGAAGTTGTTGGAAGTTCTGCCATCTGCTTTGCTGCTTTTCCAAACCTCTCGGCTACTCGGACAGTAGCTACCTGCTCTGTTGTGCTGCTTCTTTTACTAAAAACTGAATCTTCCCTTGGTGGCTGCCCTAGAGTCGTTTGTGAGAGGAGCTTCCACGGCTGTGGCGGGGTGTCTGAAAGGAGCTGTTCCTGCTGGAGCAGCGGAACAGGCCTTGGGGCCAGGGTGCGGGTGAACCCGTGTGGCACCTGCCCTCTGCTAGCAGGGTGCCGGGAAACGCTGCCGGAGAAAGTGCTGAGACATGGACGGGAGTTGAGAGCGTCAGGTGTTGCAAACCTTGCAGATCATTTTGGAGACAGATACAGAACAATTATTTCCTGGTATTCAGCCTTGTGTAAGGTAGTACATAGAGGGAAGCAAGAATTAAAAATGCGCTTTGTGGTCTAAACTTTGGCAATGTTTCAGGTTCCAAAACTTTATAGTTGGCAGCGGTGCGGGCTGAGGCTCGAGGTTTTGCCATGTTTGGTTATCGTCACCTGTTGTACCTTAAAGCTGCAATTTGTCTTGGTTATTTATAGATTTTTCTTATGAAGGCTGTGGATCAAGATGCCCCACAGAGTGGAGGAAGTGTGAAATTGTCCTGGGATTTTCGCTCCTCTCCCATTTTCTGGCAACAGGCATGTGCGCGTACGGGGTCCTGTAGTTTACAGGGGAGCTGTACCAGGCAGGACTGCTATACAGGGCCAAAAACTACCTGCTTACCAAGAGCCCAGTGAATCTGGTATTAATCTGCTGTAGAGTTAATATCATAGAGTGTACAGCAGTGTGATCTGATCTTATGTGCTTTGTAGTCGATGGGAAAATAATATTTGCAAAAAAAAATGTTTCAAGAGATATTAAGAACTATTTCTGTAATTGGGTCCCATTAGCTGTGCATGTGGTGGATCAGAAGAGGAGCAGTGGAAGAGTAGAAGAGTAGTGAAAGGTGGAAGAGGAGTAGCATGAAAGCATCAATACTGGGAGATTTTCTATAAAAACACAGAATGGGTTCTGTCATTTTGCGTGGAATTCTCAATTCAGATACTAATTGTACTAACTATGCTAGTGCTGCCTAAATATTTGAATCTTATTTAACTGTGAGGTTTTGGTAGAAGTGAAATGAGTGTGATATCTGTTATACTGTAACATGTAACTGCAAATAGGCTTGAGAATTGATTAGTTGTTGATAATGGTGATTCCAGTAATATTACACTTTTTAAACATCGTTAAAATTCATTTTGAACATTATTTTGGAAAAGGGTAATTTTTCTTTGACTCAACAGGCAGAGGAGTTTACTCTGTTAATGCTTAACTGAGGAGAAAAGCTGTAGTGTTTCTCTGTGTCTTGGCAGAGAGCAGAATTGCTGTGTTAGAGAGAGATTTTATAATTCCTCTGTCATTAGGTGCCATGCTGCACCAGCCCCATGGGAGTTTTTATGGTGTCAGAAGCCCTGATGCTTACAGAAATTATTCATCAACAATTCTGAAAATACGCTGAGATTCTGATAATTCTCAGTAATGCTAATTTAAAAGCGAAACCGAGGCCACGTGAAGGTTGGTCTGGTAAACAGCTATGGCGTGTCACATATTTAGCATCACTAAGTTTTTGCAAACATCCAAAGGACCCTTACTGTTTTCTAAGGGAAAGCTGGCTTGTGGTTTGCCCAGAAGTAAAAGTCCGGGGTTTTGTGGTTTTGGGGAAAAGTCTGGAGTTTTGTTTTCTTCTGAGAAAGTAATTTTGCTATTCAATAAGGTGATTCAGGTATCAGGACCTTGGTTTCCTCACTCTGTGAAAGGAGAGACACTATTACCAATGTTAGCATTTCACAACCTTACATGAAGGGAAAAAATGCCTCTCTGAGGTTTTCCTTTTTTTTCTTTTTTCCTTCTACTTTGAGAGAAAGTAGTGAAAGTCTACTTGCTTTCTAGCTTTGGGAGGAGAAGTAGAGTTACGATCAACACTAGGCTGTGAGGTTTTGCAGCACTGTTGGCAATATTGGTGTTTTCTGTAAAGTGTAAACTACTTAGCTTTTCTTTAAATATGACTAAACTACGCTAAGTAATGTCTGCATGGCAGGCATGCTGCTGAAAGGTTCCAGCCTCTAATTTGTCCAAGGAGAAGTGTTTAAGTGTTTATTCATTGTAACTCTGCGTTTGTACAGCTCTGCTAAATATTCCTGTTACTGCAGACCTGAGCTGATGAAACTTAGTCCATTCACAAATTCTTACTTCTTCACAAAAGAACTACTAGTAGCTTAGAGTCCAACAGCAACAGAGCTGAGACCACAGCTAATATCGAGGATTGCACTGTGATACTCATTCAGGTGGCTGGTTTGTGCTGTAGCCCAAGTTCTCACATCTTCATTGGATATATGGTGGCTGTAATATTTGATGACTGCTTACAGCACATGTGTATGGAATAGCTTTGTGTACTTTGCAGTTCTGATTTTGATTTTTCTGTTTTGATTTTTAGAATAAAACACATACTGGTGTGTTTTAGTCTCTTTCTTCAGTGATTGAAGATCAGTTTAATTTTGGTAGTTGAAATAATTTTATGAAACATGCTATTGTCAAAAAGTTAAACTGCTGGAGTTATGCTTATTTTCAATGTCTGAACTGGCCTTTTTTGGGCATGTTGACATTTTGTGTGTTTTCTTCTGTTTTTTTGTAGTGGTAGAAGAAGGACTGTGGGAGAATGGACTTTCCTATGAGTGTAGGACCCTGCTCTTCAAAGCAATTCATAATCTTCTGGAAAGGTAAGAGATACAGAATTCTGTTCTTCAGTTAGTAATATTCGTATTACAATTTGATTGGATTTGTACACAGTTTTCAGGGTGAAGTTTAGAAGTTCCAGTGTCTCTGGCCCCACGTGTTCTACTCTTGCCTTCTTTCATCTTGATCATACATATGGCTAGACTCGCACTGTGACTAGTGTCACAGTGACTAGTGACACTGGTATCTTTAAAGGCTGTCAGCTCTTAAGCTTACTGACTGTTTTGTTATTAGTCCACCAGTGTATGACTTGGCACCTTCTCCTTCTTTCTCTTTGCAGTTCTCCATGCCACTACTGTCTTTCTGTGTTATATTTCAGCTCTTCCTTTTTTTTTTTTTTCCCAGCTCTTCTAGATTGACAGGTAATTGGGTTTGCATTATGTTTTTATGAGGTTTCCATGAGTGCTCCCTTGCTTAGCAGTTAGCTGCCCATAGCTGCTAGCAGGAAACCAGCTGTTATATTTTCCTTTTTGATTTCATATGTCTTTTTAGGGGACTTCTATCTAAGTAATAGAAAATAAAAACACAGGCAATAAAATAGGCAATAAAAATGCAAGAATTAAATTCTCAGTCTAGAAAGTTCACTTAGTTGTTTTGCTACTGTGCAATGCATAAATAACTAATAAAGACATTTCACATGTATTTCTTACCCAGTGATGAACTAGGAGCAGGGTTGGCTGCATGGTCCTGGGAGTCCCAGCTCCATGAGAAGCAGTAGAAATATATGCAGGGTGGAGAAAAAAAGCCTGTATTCACCTTTAAATTAGCTTAAGTTACTGTAAACCCACCTGTAAGAGGCCGTTCATTTTGTTAGCCCTAGGTTTGGTCTTCCTGGCTGTTTTAGAGGTGCCAGCCGGAGGGTTTTCCCCTGGGTACCAGTGCGCTGGGGCTGCCCCAGGGCACTGCCACAGACCAGTCCCGGCCGGTTCCAGCTGGATCCAGCCGCCCTGGGAGCCACTTGGAGCAGCCCAGGTGCTGGCAAAGGCACCTCAGTGTGGAGCTATTTCAGTTCTGTTTTTCTCTTAACACCTGAATCTGCGATCCAGAGCCCATGTTAATTGGCAGTAAATTAAATTAAGTAGAAATTTCCTGGGGTCAGAGTATGAAGAAACCATTTAGAAGGTGTTAAAAGTTCTGAGGACGTAATAGTGAAAATATCACTATACTCTTTCATAATCGTTAGTATGTCCTTATTGAGTCTTTTTTTTTCTTTTTCTTTTTTCTTTTTTTCTTTTTCCCCTTCTCTCTTTTTCTGTAATATCAGAAGGATAAGAACTCAGGGAAACTTTCAAACATCTGTATTGCTTAGGAGGAAAACAACACTCATCAACCTTCAACAGAAAATTGAACCAAGGACTCACAGCTTTGTCCCAATTTTATATGATTAAATAACTGCCTTTAAACGCTTGCTCATTTGGGGTTTCATGCCCAGCATTTTTAAATCAAGGTCATTGTTAGAGATTACTGTTAAATGTTCTGGTTACTCTTGAGTGAATATATAGCAAAAAAAAAAAAAAAAAAAAACATCTGTCATGAGTTGT